AACAGCTGGGCATTGTGGCATGCACTATAGTCCCAGCTACTTGGGAGGCTGAAACCCCAAGAGTTTGAGGTTGCTGTGAGCTGTGACGCCACGACATTCTACCCAGGGCGATGTAGTAAGACTCTGTCTCAAAAAAAAAAAAAAAAGTCTTTGAGTTATCCTAGTGCCCATTCACTAAAAAAGACCTCACAAAAATATATGGCACTTTTTTCTCTTTAATAAGTTTATAATCTTATTAGGGACATAAAACATCTGAAATAAGTATAAGGAAAGATATAAAAAGATACTTTAGTCCAATAAAAATAGGACTCCAATAGTAACTGGGGAAGAGAAATGTTAAATATCAATGTTAAATGGACCTCAGGTGCAACCTAACATAATGCTCTCTGTTCACCTCCACGGCTGGTTTAATTTCAGAACACAATCACTATAGATGCTCACTTAGTATTGCTGGTGTCAGGGAACAAGGACATCCAGGGCTTCTGTTATTGGGGGAGAAAGAACATGATGTATAGAAAGGAAACAGGACTGAGACGACTGAATCAGCAGTATCAGAAGACATTTTCTAATGGGAATTTATATGGATGAAAGGGAAAGAACAGGGAAGGCTGGCAAGCATCCATAAGCAAAGTGACACAGAAGGCCAGATATATGGCCCAATAATATGATGGCTAACGGGAGCTCCAAAGCCAAGAAGGGAAATTAAGCAAAAGCCATTATTAACAAATAAATAAATCAAAAGTCTATCTATTTCCCTGCCCTACTCTGTCTCCTTAATCCTCTATCTAGGAGAAACCAAGCATAGACACATTGATAATCATTTAGGTACAGCAATTGACAGGAAGGCAATCTCCTCTAGGTAAGTAATGATTTTTGTTGGTCAATTGCTAACAGAGGCTGATTCCACTATTTAATGGCAGATGCCTCTTAAGGCGAGGTGGGCTTCTTTGAATGTCAGTTAGCAGATTCTGTTTTCAAATCTAAAGCTTGAGTTTTTCAAACTAAGGCCATTCAATGTTTCTAAGTTTACTAACCTCTGAAAGCAGAGTAAATGGAAGGGTACCTCAGTATTATCAATCATACTTTCAGCCCAAGACAAAAATTTTCCCTGCCCCACTTTGGCTGAATAAACTTAAGAGCCATGTGCCTAGGCATCTAAGGCAGTGGTTTTCAACCTTCCTAATGCAGCGATGTATTTTCATTGTTAGAAAGGGGTCGCAATCCACAGGTTGAGAACTGCTAATCTAAGGTATAAAAACATGGGTATTCCAAAATGAGGCAAAATGAGCTTTTTCAAAGAGAGAAATGATTATATAGCATCTGACTTTATCTTTAATAATGCTGGTAAGTACAGGAGATTTAACACTATGATTTAACAGTCAGTTGGCCCAGTTGCCATCTAACAAAAGAACTACTTGATAAATTCAATCTTGTCTCTGACTTCCATGTCAGGTGTCTAATCCTTTGTAATACTAAATTCTTGCTGGGTCTCTGCAGCATGTGACATTTTCCAGGTACTGATAGTATCACATACTGATAATATGACATCTCCAAAGTATTCTATCTCCTTGTTCTTTTAGATAAAAAGTCTCTGTAAAACAAACTTTTAAGATACATTTTAAAAGGTCTACTGTAAGAATTGCACTAAAAGCTATCCAGCTAAAATCTTTATAAAATAAGTATAAGGTATTAGAGATAATCATCACAAAAGAGCACAGAATGAATAATTTTCATTTATGAAGTCGTTACTTTCAATCTTTGTAGAGGATGATTGAGCTATCACTGTAATGTCACACTTAAAAGAATCACAAATCATTACATAAGTGAGTTAGAATTCTATTAATGGTGCTTGTGATTTTATATACGGTGAAACTTGTTATTAATTCTTCATTGTGTGATTTTCATCTCTTTATGAAATTAGTGGAAGAAATAAAATTGTTATTTTTGGAAAAGGCCATAGGCTGAGGTTCAGATTATGGTTTTTCTTATTACTTTTGGCAAGCTGTTAAAATTCATACTCATTTCTTATACTTTCACTGCTCCCATTTATCAACTGCTTTGGCAGAATATGGTGTAAAAGGGAAATTTCAGAAGACTGTGACTTTCTATATTAGCAGACAGGAAGAGGAATTTCTTTTGAAAGCGCCTAGAATAATATTAAAGATAAAAGGTTGAAGGCTGGGAGCAGTGGCTCATGCCTGTAATCCCAGCACTCTGGGAGGCGGAGGTGGGTGGATTGCCTGAGCTCATGGTTCCAGACCAGCTTGAGCAAGAGAGAGACTCTATCTCTAAAAATAGCTGGGTGTTGTGGCAGAAGCCTATAGTCCCAGCTACTTGGGAGGCTGAGGCAAGAGAATCACTTGGGCCCAAGAGTTTGAGGTTGCTGTCAGCTAAGACACCACGGTACTCTACTGAGACAAAGTGAGACTCTATCTAAAAAAAAAAAAAAAAGAAAAAAGAAGATAAAAGGTTGAAATGAATTGCTCATTCTTGCTTCTCATTATTTATAATAAAATACCATAATTAATTTCCTAATTTCCAAAGAAAACTCCCTAACTCCATCATTTCCAACCTATACATTAAATGAAATTAAACTGAAGTTGATGTGAAACAAGCATGTATGTTATCCAATGTGTACTTTCCAACGCCTTTACCCTTTTTTCTCAATTACAGAGCACTCTATATTCTCATTCAATAACAAAGATAATTTAGAAGGCATTAGAATATAATATAATCATATAATAAGTACTTATGTTTATTAAGCACTTAACATTTGCCATGTACCGAGCTAAACACAGATTATCTAAAAAGATGAATTTAATCCTCATGACAATCCTATGAAATATTAGTATTGGAATTTTCATTTTACATACAGACAAGGAAACTGAGGCTCAGCAACAGGAAGTGGCCAAACAGCTATTCGGTAACATAATGAAAATAACATATGAAGTATTTGAGCATTAACCATAACCAGGGAGCAGACTGATTTCTCCCAAAGCTAGAAATACATCTGGTCAGATACTGTGGAAAGGTCTGGTCTTAACCTGTTGCAGTAGTAGCAGACTTTACAATAATAAGTGTCAGTATTCCTTAATCATTTAAGAGAAATGATTTATGCTTTATGCTTATGCCTTTATGTAGATTCAGGTGACTAGATAAACACATAACAAGAACCAGGAGTCAAATGAATTATGGAAGTGAGGAACAAGTATAATGTAGGAGGATATTAGTTTTATGAAAATCTAAAAATTACAGTGATTCCCAAGGGAGGCACTGCTGGGAGTTGTGAGTATGTGAGCATAAGCCTGTGTATAGGAGACAATTCATTTTTTGTTGTACTATGCTGTCACAGATGTTGTGATACATTTTGTATTCTTTAACTCTGCCTCTGCCAACTAAAACCAGAAGTTCTCTCAATCCCTGTGACCACTGAATACCTCGTTTCTCAACCTGTGGGTCGTGACCCACAGGAACTGTATTTAAGGGCCACAGCATTAGGAAGGTTGAGAATCACTGCTCTAGACATTTTCTGCTGACCCTGACTGACAATCTTGGTTCTTGTGTAAAAATACTGGGAGAGAGCTAACTGACAATGAATTATACATCATATACCAGGTACTCTGCTAAATGCATTCATACATATTCATTTAGTCTTCTCAACCCTAATAAGAGGTAAGTATGTATTTTATCACCATTTTACAGGTGTGGCCACTGAGTCTCAGAGTAAGGTTCAGTAATTCAACCAAGGACACACAACCAGTTCTGTAACTAACAGTCTAGCTCCAAAACTCCACTACTCTCGGTTGGTCTCTTAAGCCATAACGATGAGGCAGGCGTGAGTTTCCTTTCTTAGAAGAAGTTTAGAAAACATAAATCGTTGTAAGTAAGAACCAAGGTGTATGTCCCTTATGAACTGGGCATGAATTAGTTCTGGGGTTGGGGATAAGGAACCATAGTGCAGTGCCACAGAGTTACATGATGTCAGCCTTCAAGAGTCAAGCAGAGCAGCTCCTTTGAACAGGCCTATCTTAGAAGTGCTTTGAACATGTGTGTAGGTTTTCTGGGGAACAAGAGAGTTGTGTTATGTTGTGTAAGGTTTACATGTCTCATTTGTTTAACACACACAAGGTTTACTGTGCACCAGGCACCATTAAAATTGCTTGACAAGATCTCACTTCAGGATATATGTTGGGTGATGAAGGGCAGGGTGTGCACTGTGTGGCGAGTGGTGGGCTGGGGTCTACGCAGCAATGCACAAGGAGGGGATGAGTGGTGGGCTGTGCTGGATAGCAAAGGTCAACTGTGATGTGTTAGAGTGGTAGTTTGTGTTGTGGTACAGATTGTAGTGATTGAAGCCAAGGGAAGGGTTATGCTAGATGATTTGTGTGCAGTGTACACGGGAGATGCTGCACCGGAAAGCTCTCGTGGGGGCACCTCACATGTGCATTTTTTGTGCGTTACAGGTAAAACTAAACACTGGAGGAGTTTCATGGGAAGGGATCTCGGTTGTGTCCTGGGCCTGTGTCTGGTGCGGGCGCTGTGCACTGGGATGTTTTATGTGGTGGTGTGCGCTGAAAGTGGTGCATATGAGATGATTCATGCGGTGTGCTGGGTAGGACAGAGGCTGGAGCGGCTGCAGAGGAGGGGCCCGTGTCGTGATGTGTGTGGAGCGATGCTGCGTGCGGGGTGGGGAGCGGGGGGCGATAGTGCTAAGTGACTCGCGTGTTTTCCTGGTGTAACCGGAGGCGCTCTATGGGAGAAGGGGCACTGAGAGGAGGGGGGTGGGGGGGTGGGCTCGGGGAAAGGGCAGGGTGTACTGTGAGACCCGGGCGGGCGGGTGGAGGAGCTACGTGGGCGGCGCGTCTGAGAGTGTGTGAACGGAGCAGTCGCCCCGCTTCCTCGCCCCGGAGCCACGCCGGGCCACCCTCCTCGCCACCTCCTCCCGCCCGCCTCTTCCCTTCGCCCTCGGGCGCGCCCCTTGGCGCTGCCCGGCGACTCACCTGGTGAAGGCAAAGTACATGAGGCTGACGATGGTGAAGCTGAGCAAGGTGATGGTGTGCGGCCGGTAGAAGAAGTCAATGGTGATGTCCTCCACTTGCTGCTCGTTGATCATCCGGAAATGCATCTTGTAGTTCACATCATCCTTGCTCAGGGTCCGGCTCCCCACGCAGGACGCCATGGCCCGCCTCCCCGTCCTGCCGCGGCAACGGCGGCCCCAGCCCACGAAGGCTGGGACCCCGAGGGTGACAAGCCGCAGCAGGCGAGCAGCCGGACGGCGAGGCCGGGTCTGGCGCCCAGCAAAGGCTGGCAGCCGAGGGAAGGACAGGCGCGGGAGGGCGGGGTCGCGGCGCCGCCACCGCGGCCGCGGGCGGGGGCCGCCGCCGGCCATACCCGAGCTGGCGTGCAGGCAGAGCCATCCCTGGGCACTCAAGGAGCCTTCACACTCCCAACCCTTAAGATTTGAGGGAAGTGGCGACGGGAGAAGGGCAGCTGTGGCCCCCGGCCGGCTCTTCCCCGCCGCACGCCCCCCCGCTCTCCCCCGCGCAGCCCGGCAGATGGTCGCGCTCACTCTGGCCGCAGCCCACGTGGGCCAGAGAGCGCGGCGGCGCGGGCCGGCAGGGTTGACGGGCGGCGTGCGGCTCGGCCGGACGGTGCGCGCGGCCCGGCGAGTTTGTCGGTCACTGCGGACCCGCGACAAGGCCCAGGCCTGCCCACAGGTAAAGCAGAGGCCGCGGGAGCGCGAGGGGCGCGCTCCTGGTGGGGGTCGGGTCGCACCACCCGCGTCCAGGCCGCGCCTCCGGGCCTCACGGCCTTCAGCCCTCGGCGGCCCAGGCGAGGGTAGCTAGTGTCGTCTTGGGTTTTCCCCTGGCTGATTTCATGGAAAACCTACCCAAACAAACAATGCTTGTTTATTTGTTCACTCTGCGAAGGTCGCAGGAGGAGGCCCGCCCTGTGAACTGGCTTCCTGCGGAAGTTGGATTTGGGGAACTGAAGTGGTCTAAAATGGCCTAAAGAGGACGTCAGGCTTACTTTGAGAGGCCCTTTATTACGAAGCCACCCTCTCCTTTCATCTCCTGACTTCACTTGTAGCCTTTCTGAGGTAGAAATCTTGAACGCTCTAAAAACTCTTACAATGCCTCTTCCTAGCAAAGATCTAGGCACAGTTGAGAATAAAATATTTTAGTGGTCTAAGGAGTTCTTTAAGGGTCTTTTTAATTTTCCTGACTAAAATGTCGTGTTAAATACCATTACGCTTTGCAAGGCTTTTGTACACATCTGCAAATGCCTTACCCGCTTTTGAATGCTGTGTAAGCAAGTGAATTAACCATACTTGCCATTGATCCATTTTCATTATACAAACAACAGAGCAGTACCAGGCTCTGGGCAAGGGGTTAATAGTCCCTGGGAGGGTGACTCCAGAGACGAAACCCAGCCCTGCTCTCCTGAATGAACAGTTAATCAATTGTTAAAAAGTATACAGAACAGTGAACTTGTAAATAACACATGGAAGGATAAACATTAGTAAAGGATAAACGTCGAGACCTTTTAATGAATGTAGATGGAGTTTAAAAGTGAGTCTCCCTCACTTGGGAGAGAGATTAATTTCAAAGGCTTCATAGTGAATTTGTGGTTTCAGGAAATTGTTTTGAAGTAGAATAGACTGCTTAGAACAACTCAAAAGTCAAAATTCTAATAGGGACCTTAAGAATCACTTTATTTTGCACTTAACTTTTTAAAAAAACATATTAGTTGAAGAATGATTCTTAATCCCCCATCAAGAATGAGATTTTGTTAGACCACCTCCAGAAACTTAAGTTCTGTCAAAATAGCATAAATGAGGGCTTCTGGAGTCCAATTTAGTGCCATTATGTGCAGAGAATGAATGTTGTACATTTGAGGGAAAATTTTTGGAAGATTTGGAGGTCATTTCCTACCAAAATTTAACAAAAATCACCTTTCCCAAAAGGTTATTATGAAAGCTTTTTTTTTTTCTTTTTTGTTGAGACAGAGTTCTACCTTGTGTCCTGAGCAGAGTGCAATGGCCTCATAGCTCACTGCAACCTCAGACTTGGGCTGTGGGCATCCTGCTACCCCAGCCTCTGAGATTACAGGTGCTCATGACAGTGCCCGGCTGGGTCTTTCCGTTTTTTTCATGAGTCGGGGGTCTCACTCTCGCTCAGACAAGCCTGGAACTCCTGAGCTCAAGCAATCCTCCCGCTTCAGCGTTTTTTTTCTTTTGAGACAGTCTCACTCTGTTGTCCTGGGTAGAGTGCCCTGGAGTCACATGTTGGGCACAAGCAATCTTCTTGCCTCAGCCTCCCAGTAGCTGAGACTACAGGCACTGTCCACAATAACTGGCCAGTTATTCTATTTTTAGTAGAGATAGAGTCTTACTATTATTCAGGCTGTCTTGAACTGGTGAGCTCAAGCAGTCCACCCACCTCTGCCTCCCAGAGTACTAGGATTACAGCCTGTGAGTGCTTATTTCTTTTCTAAAATCACTATTGTAAATCTCCTTCAGCAAACTTCCCAAAACTATAAATCTCCAAAGAGAAATTAGAGCCTCAGATATATAGCATTTGGTCTAACTTAGAGGATAAAAGCAGCTACATTTCATTACAAAGAGAAACAGAGCAAAAACTTGTAAGCATTAATTAATTTGGAAGCATTCATATGTACCTGGTTGTATAATCAATAATAATAATGGCTAACATTTATTGAGCATTTCGTATATGCTGGACTCCATGCTAGGTTTATATGGAATATCTTATTTAATATACGATTGCATGTATTAAATTTACCTAATTATGATAGCTGGCTAAATATAAAATGTCTTAATCTTCCTGCAGCTTAATCTAACAACAAAAGCCTTTCCTGATAAAAATCTTTCTGAGGGTCAGCGGCAAGGGCACCAGCTACATACACCAGAGCTGGCAGGTTTGAATCCAGTCAGGGCCTGCCAAACAACAGTGACAATTACAACCCAAAAATAGCTGGGCATTGTGGCAGACACCTGTAGTCCCAGCTACTTAGGAGGCTGAGGCAAGAGAATTGCTTAAGCCCAAGAGTTTGAGGTTGCTGTGAGCTGTGATGCACTCTACCCAGGGCGACACTGTGAGACTCTGTCTCCAAAAAAAAAAAAAAAAAAAAAAACTTTTTGAAACCATCAAAGTGGCTTGGCGCTGGCCACATACACCTAGGGTGGCGGGTTTGAATCCAGCCCAGGCCCACCAAACGGCAATGATGGCTGCAACCAAAAAAAAAAAATAGCCAGGTGTTGTGGCAGGTGCCTGTGGTCCCAGCTACTTGGGAGGTGGAGGCAGGAGACTCGCTTGAGCCTAGGAGTTGGAGATTGCTGTGAGCTGTGATGCCACGGAACTCTACCCAGGGGGACAGCTTGAGGCTCTGTCTCAAAAAAAAATTTTCAAAGTACTCATTGCTAGTTGCTTATTTATTTCTATCACTTTGTTTGCCATTTTTGACCTTTTCTTTTTCGAAGGGTTTTCAGTTCCCTTTTGAAGAACAGCTTTAGCTGTAAAATAATCAACAGTGTTCACCTCTGAAGATGAAGCAAGAAACAGCCTCAGCTGTTCTACATAGCACTGATTAATATTGTGATGATTCATTTATAACAGAATGGATTTCGGTTTTTTATTTTGTGACTAATTCATATACATAAAATGTATTTGAATGATTCAGTATTACTTTGATCAGCAGTGTGCTTCTTAAGAGTCCTTCAAACCAAATTTCAAGAACACTTAGTAGCACTACATTCTTTCCTTTTCTTTTTTAGGGGGTAGAATGCCATGGTGTATATAGCTCACAGCAACTTCAAACTCTTGGGCTCAGGTGATTCTTTTGCCTCAGCCTCCCAAGTATCTGGGACTACAAGCACCCACCACAACACCTGGCTGATGCTACCACATTAATTTTCTTTAAATGATTAAATTAACAGAGATTATTGAGTTTGGCTGTAATTTGAACATCTACAGATTTTTGTTTGAAATGTTCTCTTACATCAGTGATTTCGGTTTTTTTTTTTTGAGACAGAGTCTCACTTTGTCACCCTCTATAAAGTGCTGTGGCATCACAGCTCACAGCAACCTCAAACTCTTGGGCTTAATCGATTCTCTTGCCTCAGCCTCCCAAGTGGCTGGGACTACAGGTGCCCACTACAATGCCTGTCTATTTTGTGTTGGAGTTGCCACTGCTATTTTAGCTGGCCAAGGCCAGGTTGAAACCCTCCACCCTCAGTATATGGGGCCGGTGCCCTACCCACTGAGCCACAGGTGCCACCCAATGATTTTGTTTTTTGTTAAATTGCAAAGTATGTATTTATTTTTCCAGTTCAGCAGTTCCTATCTTTTGGTTTATAACTGAGATTGCCTCATTTTAGGCCTTTCCTGTGCATAAGAAACATTTCACTACTTTATTTTAGTCTATCTAAATATACAGTATTTGGCTCGGCCCCTGTAGTACAGTGGTTATGGTGCCAGCCACATGCACCAAGGCTGGCAGGTTCGAACCCAGCCTGGGCCAGCTAAACACCAACAACTTCCAACGACAAAAAAATAGCTGGGCGTAGTGGCAGGTACCTGAGTCCCAGCTACTTAGAAGGCTGACGCAAGAGAATCGCTTAAGCCCAAGACTGTAAGGTTGCTGTGAGCTGTGACTCCATAGCACTCTATGGAGGGTGACATAGTAACTAACTCTGTTTCAAATAAATAAATAAATAAACGGTATTTAAACACCTTTCATTTAGGAAAAAGTTAAAAATTTATCTTTTTGTTGTTTGCATACTTCTTTAAACATGTAAGTAAGTGAGTTGCTTTTCTTGTGACATTTCTATTTTTCCTTTTTAGGCTACTTTAAGAAAAATGGCCCTGGCAGCCCAACAAATACCCAGATGGTTCAACTCAATTAAATCAAGTAGCTTCATTAATACTACACAACTTACAAAACGTTTTACAAGACCAGGAAAAACATTGTTGCCTGGCTTTTCTGCTCAGCCTCAGATGTCCTCTGACAATTACTTTCTCCAGTGGGGGTTTAGGAGTTATCAGACTTCCTCCTTATGGAATAGTTCCCAACAGACCAACTCAAATAATCAAGGGAATTATCCTGCCCAAAGCACTCTGCTTCCTTCCATGAGTGAACAGTCACAGAAGGCACAAAAGATACCCAACTTTGATTCTGAGCTGTCTTTAGAAGGTAATTCTGAACTTGCAGAAAAGTCCCCCCTTTGAACAAGCTGCCTGTTTACATTCTGCTAATTTATTTCAGGTCATATTTTATACCAGATAAGAAAAAGAAAAATGTCACTTATACTCATTTACTTCTATCAGACCCTTATTTTATTGACTAAGAAAAAAAGTTGGTGGTTGATAATGTATACGATTATTTTATAGCTCTCCCAATAACATTTGCTTTCTAAATATTTTATTGTGTAGATTGTTGTTTAAATTTTTTTTCTGATAGTGATTAGGTTTATTAAGGTATAACTTATGTCAAGTAAAATTCAACTTTGGGGGTATACAGTTCTATAAATTCTGACATATGCATTTAGTTGTATAACAGCCACCACAAACAATAAATAGAAGTTATATTATTCCAAAAAGTTCCCTGCTGTCATCTTTAGTCAGTCCTCTCCTTCCTGTGCTTTTCCTTCCTATGCTAGGAATATTTCACTTTAAGTGAAATAATATTAGGGGAAGTAGAATATGAAAGAAATGTGGGAGGGAAAAGGGAGAAGAGTCCAGCTGTAAAAGATGAAAAAGGGTAGTTAGTGATTAGAAGCAAAAACTGGAACAAAAGTTCACGGTCCCCGTTCCTTAGCTCAAGGTAAATTACAGTTGTGTCTTCCATACTGTGCTAAAAAGAAACAAAAAACGGAATCAAGGCTGTACTGGAGAGGGTCAGATTGTCCTTGGCAAAGATTACAGTCTGTAGAAACAGTTGTAGGCATACAACTGTTAAAGACATATTTGAGAATAACTTGGAGAGAGGGTATTGGATCAAAACAAAGACATTTCAGATGTAATGACTAACTCCTTCAGTTTAGACTGTTGGAATATGTGTGCTTTTGACCAATTTAACAGGGTGTGGTAGACTCAGTTTCTTTCTCAAAGTGCACTTGAAATTCAGGTGATCTTCAGCATTCTTAACAATTAAAAATGAAGGAAGGAGTTATACTATGCTTTCAAACTTACCCACAAATTTCTTCTCTTGGACAACAGTAGTTGGTTTTTTTAAATAGTTGTAACCTTACCCTTAGAGTTCTTAGACATTTAATTCTGAAATGACTCCAGAAAGAGGTGGTCTTTGTAGAAACAGTTTTAAGTGTGCATATTGACGTACTAACTTGCTGCTTTCTCTCAAAGGACTGGATGACTTGCCTCCATTATCACCACTGCAGCCAGTTTCTGAGGAGGAGGCTATTCAGATTATTGCAGACCCTCCATTGCCCCCAGGTTCATTCACACTCCGAGACTATGTAGATCATTCTGAGACTCTGCAGAAGTTAGTGCTTTTAGGTAAGTTTGATTAACCTATAGGTTGAGTGTACACTTCATTTAATTTTTTACCTTTTTAAGTTAACATCTTAATATAAAGTAGTACACACATGTAAACAAAAGTTAAATAGTGTGAAAAAGGCTGCTAGTGGAAAACCTCCTTCCTTGCTTCATCCTTTCTGATGTTAAATCTCATTCCTCAGATTTACCTACATTTATCATTCTTTCTGTTTGTATTCAGCCTCCACATTTTTAAGTAATTATTTACAGTGCTGTTTCTTGGGTCATCAGTTTTAGACATCACTTAATCTCTTACAGATACATACTTTTCCTGTATTTTCTTCAATTCTCCTCATACAGTTATGTTACAGTTCTTTAGATAGATCATTAGTCATTGATTACATAATGACTCTAAATATTGCTGGCTGCTCTAACAAGAAGTGTACTAGGATTGTTTGCCTTCTGGTATAACTTTTTATTTTCCTGGAATTAATAATTGCTTTATTTTTATTTGATAAGTTTTTTGTTTTGAGAGTTAAATTTTCCCACTCCTTTCAATAGCCTTTCAGGACAGTTTTTCCCAGTGAGCCCTATTGGACAATGTGTTATTCCATTTCCCCAGAGTGCATAAAACACTGCTCCCTATTTGTCATACTAACCCTGGCATTCCTCCTGGAGCCCACTTCCCTTCTGACTTGGGTGGGTTCTCTCAAGGCCTGCTGCATACCTATCTTAGCTGATTGACTAGTAGGTTACACTGGGATCTGGATGAAAGGCAGCCAAGGGAACCTCGTTGCAAACTTCCATTTAGTCTTCCTGTCTTCAGTCTAGTACTGCAACCTTTTGCTTTTACTATTTTCTCTGGGTTTTGTGCTTCTTGTAGTTGAGTTTTCCCAGATAATGAGCCTCCTAGATGGCTCCTGTCTTCTTGCAGCATTGGAATCAACAAATAGTTTAAATACTGCTGCAAGACAAACAAGATTCCAGTGGGGCTGTGAGTAGGAGAGCATGTTCAGAGCGAAGAGCTGTCCCAACAGAATTATACCAAAATATTTTCAGGATGAATTTCTTGTTTCTGCCATCTTTTAGAATAAATTATTTTTCTGCTTTCTATGGAAAAAAAAAAAAAAGATAGTGAGCCTCCTTTCTTCTGGAGGATTGAGAAGAACGGAATAGATAAGGCATGGGGGCAGGAGGGGCAGTTCCTGAGTTCTTGGGACACAGTCATACACAGTCCCCATGTTTGAGCCTGTACTTCACTTCCATCTCTCAGATCCCTAGGGATTCCAATTTCTGAACCTAGAGTTTTTTGAGCTTGTATGTCAGATTCTCATTTGAAGGCATTTCAGTTTCCTGTTTCTCCTCTGATCTGTCTTTTACGTCTCTTTCATCATTTTTCATTCATGGTGTTTTGGAGATATAGATTAATCTTGTTTCATCAAAGGAGGAGTTTATTTTTTGTTTCTCATTCCACATATTTTGGGGAGATAGTTTTTAACAGGAAAGGAAAAAGAGAAAACCTTTGCTCTGGTAGAAACTTCAGGGGTCATTCTTTTTTTGCTTTTTTTTTTTTTTTTTTTTTTT